TTATTATCCTTATTATGATTATGAATAAAATTATGATTATGATTACTGTTATAATTAAATCAGTACCACTGTTATCATTATCATTATTATCATTATCTTTATCACTATTATCATTTTTCTATTTTTCCCTGTGCGTTGTCTCCCAGGTACCGGTCTCTGAGCACGGTCAAGACGCGGGACTTCCTCATCGGCCTGGTCATCGGCTTCTTCCTGGTCTGTGTGCTGACCGGTCGCAACGTGGTGTCCAAGATTCCGGCCGTCCACTGGAATGTCCAGAACCCGCTGACCGGCCAGGCGTCTATGTACCAGAGCAACGGCGCCCTGTGGATCAACCGGGATGTCTATGCGCAGAGCAGGGGCGGGGCGGCGGAGGGGCCCCCGAGGAAAAACTCCACTCGCGGTAGGTGTGATTGATGTGCTGTTTAAATTTATTTTTAATTTTTTTTTTTGTGGGTATTATTATTTGAAGTTGGTGTTTGTGTTTGTGAAGTTAGTGTTTTGCGTTTTTAAGGTACTATTTTAAAGTTGGTGTTTTGCGTTTTGAAGGGACGTTTTTAAAGTAGGTGTTTTGCGTGTTTAAGGTATGTTTTTAAAGTTGGTGTTTTGCGTTTTGTAAAGTTGGTGTTTTGTGGGGTTTTAAATTTGGTGTTCGTGTTTTTTTAAGCTAGTGTTTTGCGTTTTTTACAGTTATTGTTTTGGGGTTTTGTAAAGTTTCGCGTTAAATTTTGAAAGTTGTTTTTCTTACGTTTTTTTTAGTTGATGTTTTGTGGGTTTTTAAAAGTTAAAGATGATGTTTTTTAAGTGAGTCTTTTGCGTTTTTTAAAGTTGATTTTTTGTAGTTTTTTAAAAGTTGATGCTTTGCAGGGTTTCTTTTTTTTAGTTGACATTTTTTTTTTTTCTTTTTCTTCTTTAATTTTTTTAAAGTGAAAACAGTAGTGGTAACATTAAATTCTTCTGTGTTTTTAGGTCAAGTTGATGTTTGTGTTATGTAAAGTTTGTGTTTTGTAAAGTTTGTGTTTTGCTGGGTTTTTAAAAAAGTATAGGGTTGCCAGTTTTCGGCTAAAGCCGGAAATCTGGCTTTTTAAAATCCTCCAGCTTTCGCGGCTTTTCCTGTAGAGATCGGCGGTCGGCGGAGCCCGGAAAATTTTTCCTACCTGGTCGGCAAATTGTAACCCGACACCGGCTAGGCCTGAAGGAAAACCAGAACGGGTCGTTGAACTCTTGTGCATTTTCAGTTGGGGCTGGGCATTATTCGTTTTAAAAAAACCAACCGAATAAATAAGTATCTGGTATTTAAAAAATCTGACTAAACAAACCAAAACTAGGTACCTAGTATTGGAAGAGGCAGGGGTGCAACAACCTGGCTTGGCTGGCACCTTCTCCAAAAGGAGAAACTAATTTCTTTACAGTAACACCTTCCCCCATCCATTACACCATCTATATTATGCAGTTATTGGTCAGTTCTATTTTGTTCTAATTTGGTTTTCTAATCGGCCTAGACCTATGTATTAAATATTTTGGCAGATATTCTTATCAAATTATGTGTTTTTAATGAAATACTGCGCGACGCACATCGAAGTTTATACCGAAAAATGTTCAGTCTTTTTTTTTGGTCAGAGCCTGCTGGCAGTCCTGTAAGTTTGCGTTTTTTAAAGTGGTGCTTGATTTTATTTTTTAGATTTTGTGTATTTTGTTTCTTAAAGTTAATTTTTTTAAAGTTAGTGTTTTTTCTTCTTCTTTTTCTTTTTCTTCTTTTTCTTCTTCTTCTTTTTCTCCTCCTCCTCCTCCCCCTTCTCCTCCTCCTCCTCCTCCTCCTTCTCCTCCTCCTCCTCCTCGTCGTCGTCGTCGTCCTCCTCCTCCTCCTCCTTCTCCTCATCTTCCTCTTCCTCGTCCTCCTCCTCCCCCTCCTCCTTTCTTTTTTCCGTTCATTTATCCGAAAGTATTTCACCTACCTGCACAGTGTTGATCAAGACTGAGGCCGAGTACCTGATGGAAAAGGTTCGAATCCTGGTGTGGGTGATGACCACGCCCAAGAACCTGGCCACGAAAGCCGCAGCGGTGAAGGAGACGTGGGGAAAACGTTGTAACGTACTCATCTTTTTCAGGTGAGAAAAGAAGAATAGAGCAATGGGATTTTATCTGCCTCTGTCTCTCTCCCTCCCTCTCT